CTTACAATTGCATACATTCTTGAGCATTTTATTTATATTCTAAATGTAAAATCCTCCACTTAGGCTTAAAGTGCCCAAGCACTTGTGTTCCAAGTGTGGCTAGAGAGCAGGCTTCTTGAAAAAGATCTACGTGCTCGCTTAATATGAGCTGACATTGGTATAGGGTATAAAATCAAAGCGGAAATGTGACAGCCAAGAAAGCTTGGGAAGCAGCATTATTGGTACAATGATTTGGAGTCAGAGGACATAGATTCAAATCCCATGTGACCCTGGAAAGTCACTTAATCTCTCTGGGCCTCAGTTTCCCCATCTGTAAAATGAAGGCATTGGCCTCTAACGTCCCTTCCAGCTCTAAATCTATGATCCCAATATCCTATGAAAGTTCACTCGAGATTAGGCAGCGTTGAGAGAAGCTGAGTACCCCTGATTAGGGGGGGTTTTGTTGGGGGAGAACAATAAACTTTATTAAGGACAAAACATGGCTCTTGTAATAATTCTGCCTTCTCCTGCCCTGGTCGAGCGTCATCAAGAGAGGTGCCACACTTGAGGAAGGACTTTGATGACCCAAAGAGCACCTGAAGGAGTGACCAGGATGGTGACAGGAGGATCGGAAGCTTCCATCTGGGGACTGATTAAAAGAACTAGGGAAGTTTAGCCAGGACCAGCTGGAGCAGAGGGGAAGTGTGTCTTTCAGGCAAATGGAGAAGGGGCTCACTTTGCTCTGGCCACAGAGGGCTGAACAAGGACTAAATGTGCACTTGGGTCCTCCACCTCCACAGATGGCATTCTCTCCAACATGCCATATTCCCTCCCTCTAATTTCAGATATTAATACAGCCCAGCAAAGGAAATGTCAGTAGGCATTTAGAAGCAAACTGGGTTAGCGTCCAGCCCATAAATTCTCATCTGTAATGTGGGCTTTAGAGTTCACAGGTTCTGGGGCAGAGCCTGGGGCCCACCAGGATTCCACTGGTCCAAATTCCAGGCCCTGATAAAGAACGGCCCTGCTTCATACCATACCTGAACCCATTTGTGAAAACCAGCCGGACCAGCCGGCGCTCCCCACCTCCAGGGAAGTCCAAGCCCTTTTTCCCAACCAAAAGATCATGAAGATGCCATTGGCCCTTCCTTTGACCCTGATGATGTTTCTGGGCATTCCTGATCCACTGGGGAGGGGGCTGGGGGGAGGACCTCAGGCTTTGAATCAACTTTTTCCTTAGCACTGGCTTGCTAGAGAACTCTGCCTGTCTCCCAGGTGAAAGGACCCCTTCCCCACGCAGGGGAAGACTTTTTATGTAAAGACCACCCATTCGGCCTCAGACACTTGATACTTACTAGCTATGTGACCCTGGGCAAAACCCCATTGCCTAGCCTCTCCAAAAAAAAAAAAATCACCCATGCTCCAGAGTCCCAAAGTGCCTTCTCTTCCCCTAAAGCCCCTAAGGCATCCCAGCCTGGGACTGGAGTCAGAGTGGATTCCATTCCATGATCTGTCCCTCGCTGTGTGACTTGAGACAGGTGGCTTACCTTCTCTGAATCTTGCAGAAGAGGCCACTCTCCTTATCTAACCTAACCTTTCTCATGGAGTTATTGGACACAGGATGTGAGCTCGTGCCAGCAGGGAACTTGGGAAACCACAAAGCACGTTATAAAGGTCAGCCATGATTCTTGTTGATGTGACAAGCTGGTAACGAACTAGGGGAAGCCCCTGGTCAGCCAGCCACAGCTCAGAAAGATTGAAAGTGCTGTCAGAGCAAAGTAAGTTCCCCACCCCTAAAGGTCTTCCAGCGCAGGCTGTGGGGCCACTCATCAGGAGCGTTGGAGGGAGATTCCCATGCCGCTGTGGGCGAGAGGCAGCCTGCTGCCAGAGGACCCCAGGGGCTGGGCATTCCCCTGTCTGGCTCTCTGCTTCCTCCTAGCTCCCGAATGCACCACATCAGGGGAAAGGCCTCATGGGCTCTCTCCTCCTCCTCCTCCTCCTCCTCCTCCTAGAAATAGAATTTCTAACTAGAAGGGACCCTGAAAAGTATTTGATCCAAGCCCCTTCTTCTCCAGAGATCCAAAGGAACTGGGAGGTCAGTGAGTCCCCCTTGCCTGTTTTACAGGTGAGGAAACTGAGGCATAGAGAGGTGAGGTGACTAGGGACCTAATTCAGCCAACATTTTCTCCTCTCTCCCATCCCCGGGCTGTCAGGGCTTCCCCTCCTCTGACCTCATCCCTTCCTCCCCTACTGTTCGGGCCCGCAGGCAGCATCTGGGGGACTTACCTGAAGGGACAGCTAAGCATTTGCCCAGCAACTTACTTCATAGATATAGGGCTGGAGAAGGCATTTGAAGAGGGAGTCCAACTACTTGTTTTATAGAGAATGAAGGAAAAGAACAGACTGTCCAACCACATGGGGTTGGGCCATAGCACTTGAGTGTAGCCCTGACTCTGATAAAGGCAGGATGGTGTAGTGGTTACAGCACTGGACCCAGAGTTAGGAGGAGACCCTTCAGAAGGTCTTGCCTCTATTTCCAGCCTTTCTGAGAGGCCCAGTGTCATCACAGGTGGATGCCAGAGATGTCAGGGCATAGCTAGTAGAAATAGGGGAGGAGGGATAAGAGGCGAGAATACAGGAAAAGGGATCTGAGGGAGGAATCCCAAAGTCCCTGAGGCCACACAGTGAGAACCAGCATTCAGCATGGCCACCACCCCCAGACCCCTGGAAGCAAAATCTTTTACAAGATGAATTTTCTTTTCTGGAAGCCCTTCCCTGGAGCAGCCCTTGGTGTCTCCAGCCAGTGACTGCACAAACAGAGAATCAGGGACCTTTGTGATCATCTCCCCCAGCCCAGCCCAAGGCCTAGAGGAGAAGTGACTTGTCACAGAGGTAGGAAGTGGCCAAGCCAGGATTTGAACCCAAGCCCTCTGACTCCTGAGAGGGAGTTCTTTTCACTACCCCACACTGCCTCTCCCTACCCCGTGGTTTGGGGAGGATGCCTCCCCTCTGGCTAGCATTTCAATGTTTAGAAAGCATTTTCCCAAAAGAACCCATTGAGAGGAGGAAGACTTTGGAAGTATGATTATCCCCATTTTACAGAGACTTCGAGGCAGAGACTCAGCCAATTTCCAACATTACATCGCTAGCAAGTCCCGCCAAAGCCGGAACTCCTGACTTGACCAGTCGAGAGCTCTTTCCCCAAGACCAAATCCTGGGAGCAGCAGCTTCCAGGAGAAGGTGATGGCCCAGCCTGAGATAATGGGGTGGGTTTGGGCTCTGTGAGGACCACTTCTCACATGGATTTAGCCATTGGAAACGCAGCCTCTCCCCCCGGGGCCAATGGCCTTGAGTGTCACAAAGGTCACAAAGCTACTAAGGGTCTGGCACAGGATTGGAGCTCATGGCTTTTTGCACACTCTCCCCTTAAGGCCACCTTGTCTTGAATCCTTATGGTCTGAAGAAGGAACCCTGGCCCAGAGCAGCAACTGGCTTTTGCCTTTCTTCTCACACCTAGCACTTGGCAACGTGCCTGGCACATAGTAGGTGCCTCATGGATACTTTGGCTTGATTCCAGCCCCAGCTCTGCAATTAAGGAGTTGTGTGACCCTAGGCAAGTTCCTTTTCTTCTATTAGCCTCAGTTTCTTCATCTGCAAAATGGCCAGGGGCAAGGGTTGCAGACTAGATGATCTTTATCAGCCTTCCTAGCTTAGATATTCTGGGTTTTGGGTTCTAAAGACTCTTCCAGTTCTGATAGTCCAAAGTCTCTCCCAGCTCTGACATTCTATGTTCTATGTGCTAAGGTGCCTCTATTCTAGCTCTGGTGTTTTATGTTCTAAAATACAGAGTCCCACCCTCCCAGCTGTGAAGGTTGTATTCTGTGTTCTAAGGTCTTCTCCAGCTCTGATATTCCATGTTTTAAGGTCCTTCTGTTCCAACTTTGATGTCCTATGTTCTAAAACACAGGATCCCACCCTCCCAGCTATGTTCCAAGGTCTCCCCCAGCTCTGACAACTAAGGTCCCTCTGTTCCAGCTCTGACATTCTATGTTCTATGTGCTAAGATCCCTCTGTTCCAGCTTTGATGCTCTATGTTCTAAAACACAGGGTCCCACCCTCTCAGCTGTGTTCCAAGGTCTCCCCCAGCTCTGACATTCTATGTTCCATGTGCTAAGGTCCCTCTGTTCCAGCTCTGATGTTCTATATTCTAAAACACAGGGTCCCTCTCTCCCAGTTGTGTTCTAAGGTCTCCCCCAGCTCTGACATTCTATGGGTATTTTATGCTAAGGTCTGCTCTTTCAGCTCTCCCATTCTATGTCCCAAAGTCCTTCCCATCTCTGACAGTGTCTGTTTTATGTCCTAAGATTCCTTCCATTTCTGGCCAAAGAGATTCTCTGTTTTCTTCTAGCTCTGGCACTCCAGACACCTTCTAGCTTTGACTTTCCATATTCCAAGGTCCCTCCCAGTCATGACATTCTGGGTCCTCACTACATTCTAAGCAGTCTCCTTGCTTTGCCACCCTATATTCTAATGTCCCTTCCAGCTCTGACATTCTGCATTTTTTTGGTTTTTTTATTTAATATTTTTTTCTGATTACATGTAAAATAATTTAACCCTCTTTTTTCAAATTTTGAGCTCCAAATTCTCCCCCCACCATTGAGAAGGCAGGCAATTTGACATGGGTTACACGTGTGTTGACATTCTGTGTCCCTTTAAGCTCTGACATTCCAAGCTCTCTTTTATGCGCTTCTGTTCCATCTTCCGCCAGCGTTCAGGTCCAGCTGGAATGAGACCAGCAAAGGTTCACCATCCCGGATGTCGCATGGTGGCCAGAACAAAAGAGCTCTTGAGTGGGCCCTGAAGCATTACATTATGGAGGACCCTTTTCCATGGGAAAGAGAACAAGCAGGATATTTGCTCTTTTCACCTAAGACCCAAGTAAATTGCGGTAGAACCCCCCCCGCCCCGCCCCCTGTCAATCTCCTGAGGGGAGGGTCAACATGCTGCCCACAGGATATAAGAGTGAAGCTTCCACCTCCTCTCCAGACACAGGCTGACCAACTCCGGCTCCACCATGAAGCTGACCATTGTTCTCAGTCTGGTTGCCCTGGTCCTCTGCTGCAACTGGGGTGAGTATGGGCTTCTGGCAGGGGAAGACAGATTGGCTTTTCTCTAGGTAGGAGGAGGGACCCCAAGGACTGCCCAAGACTCTTTCAGGAGGTTGGAAAGGTCATCAAGACAACTTTCATAATAATTCTAAGAGGTTCTGATTTCTGATACAGTAAATATTGATAGACATAGCCCACCCAAGGTCTCCCCCCAAGGACCCTGGGGAGTCCTCAATAATTCTGAAGAGTATGAAAGGGTCCTGAGACCAGAAACTACTGAAGCAGACAATGTCCTCCTTTCACTCCACAATAATGTATGGAGTGAATATGCCAATATGCATCCAACCCTTCAGAGGAAGAAACTGAGGCACAGAACAATTAAACAATGCGGCCTTGGCTTGAATTTGAGCGTGGGGAGACTTTAAGCAAGTCATTTCATTTCTTTTTTTTTAAAATGAGGCAATTGGGGTTAAGTGACTTGCCCAGGGTCACATAGCTAGTAAGTGTCAAGTGTTTGGTCTGAGGCCGGATTTGAACTTGGGTCCTCCTGACTCCAGGGCCAGTGCTCTATCCACTGTGCCACCTAGCTGCTCCAAGTCATGTCATTTCTCTGGGCCTCATCGCCTCCTCTATAGAATGAAGGGCCTGAACTCAATGACCTTGAATGTTCTTTTCACCTTTGAATCTGACTTGCCCAAGGTCTGGAAGCCAGGAAGGGTCAGAGCTGAGACTTAAACCCAGGGCTCTTGGCATTGTACTATCAAGGATCTATGATTTCTTCAGTGTCCACGAACACAGACAGTTAATTTGGTAGACACGTCTTACAGGTCCAGAGAAGTCAAATTACTAGCCCATGATCACACAGTCAGTAAGCGTAAGAGACAGGATTGGAAGCCAAGCCTGCCTGGCTCTAGGTTCAGAGTTCTGACAGACGAGGGTTAGACAGAGTCCGAAGGGTCAGATGGGGTTCTCTACTCACTATCACAAGAAGACTAAAAAGAGTTGAGATTCCTAGAGCACTTTCCTCCAGTTACCTCTCCTGATCCTCTCAACAACCAGAGGAGGTAAGTGCTGTTATCACACCCATTTTATTTTATTTATTTAGCTAGGCAATGGGGTTAAGTGACTTGCCTAGGGTCACACAACTAGTAAGTGTTATGTGTCTGAGGTCGTATTTGAACTCAGGTCCTCCTGACTTCAGGGCCAGTGCTCTAGACTAGTTGCCTCCATTAGCATTAATAAATAGCATTAACATACGCTTGTTGATTGATTGAGCTATCATTATTGTTATTAATATTATTATCAGCATCATTATTATACAAAAATGAATCAGTGAGCGTATGAAGTCGAAATGCCTATCTGGAGGCAACCAGGTGTCACAATGGATAGAGGACACAGTGAGTGGGAAAAAATAGAAAAAGCACTGACTTTGAGGTGTTGGCTCAAATCCCTCTCCGACACTAATCGTTGGGGTGACCTTGGTTAAACCACTTGCCTTGCCTGGGGCTCATAGGAAAGGGCTGGACTTTCTGCCCTCTTGAGTCCTTCAGGGCTCTAATTTCTAAGATCTTGGCTGTCCCTCTTGGGGGGGGGAGAGAGCAGCCAGCCAGGCTTGCAAAACAGCTCCGATGAACCCAGGCTCCCCTTCTGTCTCCGCTCCAGCCTCTGCCCACGTTTGCCCTACTTTCCCAGAAGTGGCCAGCATCCTCTTAAAGGGCACGCCCCAGCAATATCTCGAAGCCATTCGGTGTTTCCAACCCGATGAGGCCATGGAGGCAGCTGGGAAGCTGCTGAAGGCAAAGGTGGACACCCTCTCGGACGCGACCAAAATGGACATCGGGAGGCTGATGGTAAATACGGGCCTTTGGGTTCTTTTACCGTCTCCTTCCACAGCGTCTCAACGGGTGGGAGCTGCTGCGGCCTCCTTTAGGTAAAACTCTCCTAATAGCATAGTATTGAGGGAAGAAGAAAAGGCCCCAGGGGAGAAAGGTGCCGCCTGCAGTGCTCCCTACGGGCACCTCCAAAACTCAAAACAGTACAAAAAGTCACTGGGGTAGCTTCTCCCTCGATCTCCCTGACATGAAAGTAAGGAGTTAGGATGCTCTCCAGTCAAAAGCCCCTCATCTCCTGTGCTTTGTTTTGTGTTTTTTCAGGTAAAAATATTGACCAGAAACTAATGTCCATCAAGCGGGCTTATTTGGTTTCCCAGATATCACCAAACGCCGAATCGCTGAACTCCAGTTCCCGGTGGTTTTGCCTCCAGTGCTCTCCCCAGCCCCGATCTCTGTCCGTGTCCCCTCAGCTCTACTGCCCCAAATAAACTGAAAGCATTTGAGTCTGTGTCCTGCCCTTTTTTGTGCAGGGGAAAAAAGGGGGAGGGATCTGGGAATAGGATAAATCCAGGGGAGAAAGGTGCCGCCTGCAGCACCTTTGAAATGCCAGGGGGCCCAGTGAGGAGTGGGGAGGGAGCCTGAGTACATTTGCAGCTGTCTCGGGGTGGAGGGGCGCAGTCGCAGGCTGGAAGGCAAGAGCACACGGACCCTGACTGTCCGCTCCCGCCAAAGTCCACAGGGAAGGCTTTCAGGGCGAGTGTCAGGTACAGCAGGGACAACCCACAGATCGTGAGACTGGAGGTGCTAACGTCATTGCTCCCGTGGGTGGTCTAGGAGAAGTGGAAAGACTGAGATGGGGATGTCTCCAACCCACTTGCCCCCTGCATGAGGAGGAGAAGAAAGGCCTTCTGGGAGAAGCAGAGCCAGCATTTGCACCCAGGGCCTCCACAATACCATGTTATCTCCTTAGGGTTGGGATATTTCACTGGAGGGACCTGTTTCACAGGTTCTTGACATAGGGTTATGAGCCCAGACCTGGAAGGCCCCTTAGAGGCTCTCGAGACCACTTTATAGAGCAGGAAACTGAGGCCCACAGAGAAAGGACCTTACTTGCCCAAAATCACAAAGGTAACCAGGCCAAATCTGCAACCTTGTCATAGATTTTTGAGTGGAGGGGACGTGAGACGCCACGAAGTCTCAACCCCTCATTTTACAGATGAGAAAAGTGAGACCCCGAGACTGAGCCAAAGTTCCACAACTGGTGAGAGGCTGCATCAGGGGTCATACTTGGGCTTCTGTTCGGCCAAGTCTACAATGTATCCATCACACCCCTTTTCTCCTGACTCCAGACCCTAAGCTCTTTGCACTGGCTGTTCGATGCTATCTCTCATCGAAGGCTCTGCTGGTCCCGGCCCCACATCCAGCAATGCTCCAGTCTAGACTCCTCTAGTCACCAGCAGTTTCCCTCCTCTGCATCGGGGGTGGCGACTGAGGCCCCTAGGCTTTGCTGCCCCCTCCCCACTACCTTGCAAACAAAGATTCCGGTCTTGGGCTTTTACCTTTGATTGCTGGGATAAAAACCATGGCAATAACGCTGATGGGACCCTTCAACTGGTAGTGAGACTTTCCTCCCAAAATAGGATGGACACCCATTCAGGCGTGTCCTAAATCACACTGGAATCTGGGTGAGTGCATGGCTGTCACACCCCAGAAAAGCCCTGCCCCGTCTAAGCAGGGACAGGTTGAACATCTCACGCACCCTTTCCTTCCTTCCTTCCTTCCTTCCTTTCATTCGTTCATTCATGAAGGCTTTCTTGCTCAACCATTGGCATTAAGAGATCTGATGGGGACAGCACCGGAGCATCTTAGCCAACTCCACCTGCCACACCATCTCCTTCTTTGGCGATGAGGCACAAACATATGAGGATCACAGAAAGAACCCTGGGCCAGCAGCCAGGAGGCCCCAATTCCAACCCCAGCGCCATCCCTGACTAGCTGTGAGACCTTAGATAAGTCACATCAGCCTCATTCTCTCCATTTGTAACATAAAGGGGTTTTGCCAGATGATCTCTAAGCTTTAATATGCTTTGATTGGGGGTGGGGAAAGGGAGAGCAGAAAGGGGATAGCAGTGTCTTGGAGATGGAAAGATCCCAAAGGATCACTGGGGCCAAGCCACACCTGCACAAGAATCTCTCCTTCAATATGGATTCCAGGGGCAACTAGGTGGTGCAGTAGATAGAGCACTGGCCCTGAAGTCAGGAGGACCTGAGTTCAAATCTGACCTCAGACCAAACACTTGACACTTACTAGCTGTGTGACCCTGGGCAAGTCACTGAACCCCAATTGCCTCCCCCAAAAAACCCAAAACAATATGGATTCCAACCCCCCTTTGACAGCCCCAGCGGAGAGCTTCAGCAAGCTGCTTAACCACAATGGGCCTCAGTTTCCTTCTCTGTAAAGCGGCAGAGCTAGACTAAGTCACAGAATCTTAGTGCTGCATGGGCCCCCAGGGGCTATCCACAAAGAATCCTGCAGCACACGACCCCAAGTGGTCATTCAGCCTTTGCTTCAAGACCCCAATGAGGGGAGCTCACTTCCTCTGGGGGTAGCCCATTCCACAGAGGGAAGCTTTGCACTCTCCACCCCATTCTGCCCTTTGGGGTCAAGCAGACAGTCTAATCCCTCCTCCACATGATGGCAGGAAAGACAGTTGAAAGCACCTAGCATGCTCTCCCCAGCCCCATCCCCAGTCTCTTTTAAAAAAAAAATAATATTTTATTTTTTCCCAATTACACATAAAAACGATTTTTAACCTTTTTTTTTAAATTTTGAATTCCACATTCTCTCCCTCCTTCCCTCCCTTCCCCCTTCCCTGAGACAGCAAGCAATTTAATATAGGCTATACATGTTCAGTCATGTAAAACATATTTCCATATTAGTCATGTTCTGAAAGAAAACACAGACCAAAAAAAAAAAAAAGATCCAAGGGAAAAAAAGTGAAAACAGTCTGCTTCAACCTGCATTCAGACACCATCAGCTGGAGGTGAGTGACATCTTTTATCTTGAGTCCTTTGGGATAGTCTTGGATGGCTGCATTGCTGAGAAGAGCTAAGTCACTCATGGCTGATCATCCCTACAATGTTACTGTTACTGAGTACAATGTTGTCCTGGTTCTGCTCACTTCACTTTGCATCAGTTCATATAAATCTTCCTAAGTTTATCCAAAACCATCCCCTTCATTATTTCTTATAGCACAATAACATTCCATCACAATCACATACCACAACTTGTTCAGCCATTCCCCAATTGAAGGGCATCCCCTCAGTTTCCAATTCTTTGCTACCACGAAAAGAGCTGCCATAAATATTTTTGTACAAATAGGTCTCCTCTCCCCTTTTTAAATCTCTTTGGGATACAGACCTAGTAGTGGTATTGCTGGGTTAAAGTATATGCACAGTTTTATAGCCCTTTGGGCATAGTTCCAATTGCTCTCCAGAATTGTTGGATCAGTTCACAACTCCAACAACGATGCATTAGTGTCCAAATTTTCCCACGTCCCGTCCACCATTTATCATTTCCTTTCTCTGTTATACTAGTCAATCTGACCGGCACCCCACCCCAAGTCTTAAACATCCTAGTTTCCCCCAACAATCCTCTTCTACCTACCAGGTCATAGACTTATGTGTTCAATAAATACTTATTAAGTGATTGATCTCTTCCCAGGCAGTTAGGTGGCACAATGTAAAGCACCCTAGGCCTGGAGTCAGGAAAATCTGATTCAAATCTGGCCTTGGGCACTCCCTAAAGATATGATCCCTAGGTAAGTCACTTAACCTCTGTCTGCCTCAGTTTCTCCATATGTAAAATGGGGGTAAAAATAGAACCTTCCTCCCAGGGTTGTTGTGAGGATCAAATAATATAATAATTGTAAAGCACTTAGCACAGTGCCTGGCACATGGTAGGTGCCATGCTAGCTATTAGCAGTAGCATTTTTTGTAGGATCTGGCATCCTGTGATCCAGAGCTTGACCTGGGTCATTCTAAAAACTTCAAGAGCAAAAAATAAAAAATAAAAATAAATAAAAAACTTCAAGAATACATGTATCCACAGGGAACTAAGAAGAGCTCTGGACCAGCAGGAGCCCCCCAAGAGCTAAAACCTCTTAGGAAGGACAGAGCCACCTCCCCGGGAAAAGGGGTCAGGGTCAGCTGCCAGGATTTGGCTGGAGAGAAAACCAGCAAATCTACTTGTGGGAGCCTGGAGAGCCATTTGGTAATAGAACAGAGGATTCAGAAGGCACTTTCCCCTTCCTATAAGCAGGAACAGTGGCACAGAATGGCCCCTAGGTGGCAGCATGAAACAAGGTCCCATCCTCAGTTACTTAGGAATTTCAAGCTGCCCCACCCAGCTAAAGATGGTAAATAGGAGCTTAGAAAGACGTTCAAACATAGAACACAGAATGACGGCTGGGAGGGGGAACCTTCCAACACAGACAGTCAGAGCTGAGCCAGGAGGGCTTTTTGAACTTATAATGCACATCAGAGCTGAGTGAGATCTTGGAACATAGAATATCAGGGCTGGGAGAGACCTTTAGAACTTGGAATGTCAGAGCTGGGAGGGACCTTAGAACATGGAATGTCAGAGCTGGGAGGGTCCTTGGAATATGTCCTCTGAGAGCCTAGAATTGAACAGAGAATGTTAGAACTGGAAGAGCCCTTTGAGCAGAGCAGAAGGTGGAGGGAGCTTAGCCCTCCTCTGATGCTCGCTTTAGAATCCCAGCACCTGAGTTCAAATGCTCCATCTGCTACTTTAATTGTGTGACCTTGGGTGAGTCACTTACCGATTAGACCAGGTGACTTCTTCAGACCTTTTCACGTCTCATTGGATCTAGTCCGACCCCAAAACTCAAATTGAGACCAGAGGAGCAGCACAGACCACTCGCCTCTGACAGTGATTTTGCCTCCTGAACGTTCTTTTGACTTGGGCCTGGTTTTGCTGTTCGGCTGGCAGCCTGGGGAGCCTGGGGACCCACTGGTGAATTCCACAAATAAGCCCCTCCTTCTTCTCAGGGCCCTGTCCAGGGCAGCCACTCTGGAATCGCCCTCATTGCCTTCCCACCCAGTGCGGTCTGCCTCTCCAGGGTCGGGGTGGGAATGGAGAGACCATGGGGTGGGGGGAGCAGAGTTGGCCCCTATCAGGGTTATTCAGGGGATTTAAAAATCCAAACTAGAGATTTCATAGGAAGATGGACCCAACGGATGCTGTTAGAGAAGGGCTAGTGTAGAGACTCCTCCTGCCCTCAAAGCTCAGGGCCTGTCCTTCGATTTCCAGGCTTAGACAGCGGCCTGGGGCAGTGAGAGGTAAGAGCCCCAGCCACGCATGGGACCAGGCTGCACTTGACCCCGGCCTCCCTGACTCTGGGCCCAACCATGAGCCCACTGAAGAGGGCCAGCTCACAGGACGTCAGAGCCTGAGGGATACTTAGCATTCATCTCACCCTCT